TTTTTTCAGCTTACAATACCAGTATAAATTGATTGACAACGACAACGGTCTTGTTGAAATCGCTTTCCGTGATGGTGGATTTCCAGAAGCTGTACTGCCTATTATCGTGCCTCCAATGGCATATCTAATGAGGAGAAAGGTAATCACCCTACATTGTATTCTGCGATTTCTCAGCGTAATTACAGGCTTCTCAAAAAGTTGCTGGTAGCATTGGAAAGCTTTCCGATGAAAACTACAAAGACCTTCTAAGGAAAGATTACGATGCATACCAAACCTTATTGGGTCAACAGAAGTTCATGTTTGGAGACGAGATTTCGGCGGTAAAACACTTCTTTCGATTCTGACAAAATGCCATTTTACAAAGTTTAGGCTGATTGCACACTTTTTGGACAACTGGCAACAACGCTTTATCTCCCTGTCAATAATTATGCGAAAGATGTGCTGAAAGAAGAGTATCCAGCCTTGGTGCAGTACTGTGACCGAATCAGAGATACTGTTTTTGGAAAAGACTTCACATCCGAATAATGTCATTTCAATCTTGATAACAATTTTCACAGTACTTTTGTATAACCTGAAAATGAATATATGTGTCTACCTCAATAAATTTTTGATATTTTCCTTTTTTCTCCATCTCAAAGGTCATTACTATTCTTTCTTGGAGTGTTGTCCATCAAAGTCTAAAGAAATATACCTTATTTTGAGAATAATAGTATAACACAAACCAAAAAATTTGGAGCATGAAACGTCTAGGAATCAAAACGCCTTCTTGAAACCAACACCTCAGAAAGGTGCGGATTCATTCCAAACATTTTCTGTTTGAGTTCTCTCAATCCTGAACTTGATTGCTCTCCCTTTCGCTTTCTCTTTCTCTCTCTCTGTATATGAACACTCCGAAACAACTTGGCAAAATCTTTTATTTATTTCTGCCATAATGAAAATTAGAAATAGTAAAAAAAAGGTGACACAGAATTATCTGCAGAATTCGTATGTACCGTTCAATTACGTTTGGACAAACTGTTCTCTTAAATTATTCCATGTACTTTGCGAATGGTGAGATAGCGTCCGTCGCTGAGAGATGGGCTCCTTCTAAGAATGAGGAAAGTTCTTCCATTTCTAACAATATGCTGCCATATGTAAATTACCTGCGTGATAGGATCTAGCGTGATTGTGAAAAGCCG